CATTCATAATGAAGCCTCTTAAAAACTCCTCCTGAAGAGTTTTGTCAAAAGCCATGTGCTACCTGGCATTCTATATTTTTAACCAAGTTACTGTAAGCAGTGATTACTTGAAAATAATCTGTAAGCTATGTTCTGTGAAATTATGATTTCTTTTTATGGCTATCATTCTGCTTACTTCATTGTGTAATAAATCTTTGAGAAAATGTGCTAAGAAATCTGATGGCAAAAAAATGTTACTTTTCGTTTCTCAAATTAGCTAACAAAGGACAATAAAAATAGAAATTAAGAGAACTAACATCCGAAATATGCAGTGGTTCCCCCTTCAGTGGTTTTCTTCCATTAACAGTGATGTGTGGAATATGAAAATATTGGAAAACAACTAGTTGTGTACTTGACACAAACCATTGATATGTCATCCTTTTGAAGGCAGGTGCAGTAAAGAGCTAAAATGAAAGTCAGACATGAAATGAAAGTCAAAACAATATTTGACTTTAAGAAATACTTTTGCTGTTTTTAAAACATAAATTCCAGACAGTTATTTCTATACAAATAAGAAAAACCAAGAAAAAATAATATGTAGGATTAATTTCTACATCTGCATTTTAACTTTCCTTTTACTGCTCATATTAACTTCTAAAGCATCTTGAACAACTGGCACAATTATTCAGCTTTCTTCCTCCATGCCTTGCAAATATACTTCCTATGGCTGGGAAGTTGCAAGTAGACCACGAAACATGGAATGGGACAGTTAATTTGGCACATGGTCTGCTCCTACTCACTGTGTTTCCAGAAGGGATTAACTAAATTGAATATGGACTGTGTGGATTTTTCTGTTGATTCCTAATCTCTCGCTTCTGAGGTGCAAACTAGGAAGGACTATTATTTAAGAAATTGATTTCCCAGGGAACAGATGACGAAAGGGATGACAAATCAATCTGGCAAAACCCTGTAATATTTGAGGGTACATTGTGTGACCCAAGGTACATCTTGTGACCCTTTTCACAAGACACTGCTCTCATCTACAGTATCAGAAGTTTTGATAGCATCATTCTCTTTAGCAGAACCAATATGAAATTAGGCTTTTCTGTAGTAGCACAATGCAATAGATTGGCAAACTGAAGAGAGCGGAAAATGCTGGCAGTTGTTTCCTTTCTCCGTTAGCCTTTTTTAAAACAACGTTCCTTCATTCTCATGACCTGGAAAACAATGTTCATCCATAGCACGTATGGTCCACACTGATGAAATTTTACAACTTTTACATTATGAAAACTGTAGAATCTTGGAGCCAGAGAGGAATTACACCTTGTAATTTTGATCAGTATTTTGCATATCAAATATATAACCAGGTCTATCCAGTGATTAAAAAAAAAAAAAAAGAAAAAAAAATCAGATTTGGATCAAAGCTATCATAGAGTAAATCCAGGATAATTCCACTGAAATGAAATGGAATTGCTTTCATCTTAGGTGACTATAATTGAGATTAAAATCTGACTATTAAGTATTGGAAAAGAAAGGCATAAGGTAAGACAACACTAAACTAAACATAAGAAGATTTTTGTGGAAATCCTCTCCATGGAAACCAGAGCAGAGGCGGATGATGCACACCTGTGTGAACCTCAAACTGCTGTAAAGCTGCAATGCAGGCAGGATGCACGTGCAAACTCGGGAGAAGTGAAATGTTCCCAACAGCCCAGAAATTAGATATAGATCCCTCTAGACATTTGTGGGAAAATCTTGCCAAAACCAACATTCCATTAAGCATTTTTCAGTATATGTGTATCAGTTTTAGAAAAGGCTGTTGTCTAGATACCAAAACTCCTGTTGACAAAGAATTTAGGATAAAGGCTAATTTAAAAAATAAATGCAGTAGAAGTTAATTTATTTAATAGAAATGACAAATAAATATTCTAATAAACAACAGTGACAAGACCCATAGAATTACATTTCCCCATGGCTAGCCCAATACAGAAAGCTGAAGTTCACAATTCTATTTTTTCTGATGTTCTGGAATGATTTGAATATGTAACTACTGAAGGCCTTCATAGTATTCGGTCTCTAATACCCTCTTTTTCCCCATGAGATAATTCCTTTGTAAACTGTTAATGTTAGGTCATCTGAAAAAGAAATCTGGGCTATGTAGTCAACTCAAGAACAAGTGCTGAAAAGAACATTTTGAAAGAAGAATATAACTGCTCTTTCTGTTCTGTAACTTTGTGACATATCTGTGAGAAACACTGTTGTGAATAGTTAGTATGTTAACCTGCATTTATTGTGCCTTTTGTGCAAAAGCTAATACAGTCTGTGCTGATTAATACCGTTTGATATTAAAAATAATGACAAAATCTCAAAATTGTACTTTAGTAGAATGCCCACATCTCAAGGAAAACTGCAGCTATTAGAGAAGGAGGAAAAAAGCTAACTTTTCAGTAACCACAATTTATTTTTTTTAAAACTAGCAGAGTACTAGTACAGTATTTACATTCTAAATGACAGATTATATTTTATTACTGATGGTGAAATATTGAAAAGATATGTATTTATGAAAGTATTGGTAATGTATTATACTCTGAACTGCATTATAAATATTAAATTTCTAATTTACTCTTGCCTTTACATATAAGATTCTGCTCATGGTGGTTGTTTTGTTGTTGCTATTGTTTCTTGTAAGGATAACATATGTGATGAGCAGTACTCACATTGCAGTTGCCTTACAGCAGCAGTCTAAACCTTGAGAGGTATAAACTTCAATTGCTCAAAGACAGAATGAGAAACAAAATTGAGAACACTGATGATCTGGGAGGTTGGTGGGGGCAGATTAAATAACCATCAATAGATAATATCTACATAGCATATGTAGAGTTTGTGTGACTTAAATGGAAAAATAATCAGATGTTTATTAATTAATGCTCTAATTGTAATTTGTGAGCTGTTGACTTTCTTTAAATCTGTGTCCAAACCCTGGTGAACAGACATGTAGTTTTCAATTGGCAACATAAATAAACAGAAACAAATCTATGATTACGGTCTTTGTTCTTAACCAAACTTTTCCCATCTTATTCATGCTAGACGTGCTGTAAGAGGTCCAACTTCTCCACTAGTATCGTCAGTGCCCTGATTTTCACCATCACTTTTTCTCAGTGTGTCCTTCAAACAAATTACTTTGCAAATGGGAGTTCGCAAACTTTCCTGAGGGAAGTTCCTCCTCATCAAGATGCATCTGAAAAATACATGGATATAACCAGGCCCGTGCTGATCCTTCTGTATAGTTCTGCATAGTCCTGCAGCTGGATCTGACACTCGAGCCAGCTGCCCAGCTTTGGCTTTGGTTTGCAGCTCCGGAGCCATCAGGTACAACAGGGAAGGGGCCCATGCCATCAGTCCTGCCTGACTGCAGCCTATGTCCCCAGGGGCAGCTTGCAGCTGCAGGTTCCTTCACTGCCTGCCCCTGTGCAACCCAAGGAAAATGGGGGAAGCATTCCTTGGGAAAAATTTGATGGCAATTTGATCACAAACTCAAAATGTTAGCCCAGCTGGGTCTGAGATGATAGCTCACATACTAGCACAGACAGTTTAATATGCTGTCTGCATTAATGGTGTAACAAGCTTAATGTATAACAAAAACCTGACAGTAACTGCAAGAAATGTTTCTCACGGGAAATCAAATGTCCACCCACACACAAGTGTCTGTGTTAATACCAGAGGTGTAACTGCAGCTTAGTGTGGTAATTTGCATCTAGTTTGGTGTGCTAATTTGGATGTGGGTTGGTGTGATCCAGCTAGGGACTCCTCGATCAGATTCAGCACATGGGATACATTCCCCTGGGCCACCATCTTTAGCCCTGTAAGGCATCCTGTCATTCGCCTTGTCCCTCTGCCACAAAGTCCAGCTACTGCTGCTCAGACCTTCAGCAGAGCTGTTGTCCCAAAAATGCCTGTCCAGCAGCTGCTGTTTCCAGGAGCTTTCTGATGCTGCCGCGGTGGCAGAAATGGAATGGGTGGCTGTGGAGGCCAAGTGCTGTGTGCGAGGAAGGGTCGAGTGCACGCTGCTGGCACGCAAGTCACGAGGGAGGCCGGGGTTTTGTGTCTGGGCCTATCTTCCCTGGCACCCACCTCCCGTGGAGCTTGTCCTGCACAGAGTGGGGTTGCCAAGGACGGAGCCCAGGACCCTGCTGCCTGGCCATCTCTTCTTACTGCGAGAGTAAGGAACAGCGGGTAATGGGTGTATTGATGGGAGGTGGCCGCCCTGCCATTTTGGGCAGCCAGAGTCGAGTTTGGCACAGAAAGAGCCACAGCAGTTCTGCTCCTTCAGTAACCGAGCTGTGCGTGAAGGCAAGGGTCTCCTCTGCCTCGCAGGAACAGCGCATCGCCGTGTGGCCAGTTCCCGCTGCTACTGGAAATGGGCTGGACAGGCAATAAACGTGACATTCTCCAGCCTCTCCCCTCGGCCGCTCTTAACTTCCAGCCGAGGAACCAAGCCTTTACGAGGAAAAGTTTTTCCGAGACGCGTGGCAAGGGCTGGCAGGCCGCCAGAGCCGCCCTGGGCAAGCCACAGCAGCCGGAACACCGACCGGCACACGCCTGCCGAGGGGAGACGGGGGGCCCGCCAGGGTGCGGTTTAGCGGGGAAGGCGCGGGAGGGCGCGGGCGGGGGGGAGCGATGGGTGAGGGCGGGAGACACGCGCGGGCATGGACCCGCGCGCTGGGGGAAAGCGGGGGGCGCCGTGCCCGGCCCCACCCCCAAGGCACGGACCCCGCTCCCATTGGAGGGCGCGCGCCTTGGGCGCGGCCAATGGAGAGCGCCCGCCTGCCCGCCCCGCCGTGCGCCTTCCCGCCCAGCGTCTCCGGCGAGCCCGATGACGTCACGAAGCGAGCCCGCCCCTCTCCCTCTCGCCCTCCCTCCCGCTCTCTGATTGGCTGCACCTCGCGGAATCCTGCTTCTCGATTGGCGGGCGGGGCAGGGGCGGGGCCGGGAGCGGCGCGGGCCCGCGCGGAGGCGGCGGTGGCGGCCGGTGGGTACGGGGGTCGCGCGCGGCGCGGGCGGGAGCGGCGGGGGCGGCGGAACCTCCGGGCCCGGCGCGGCCCTGCTGGGGATTGGGGAACGGGGTTCCTTCACCGTGGCCTAGAGGGGCCAGCGCCGCCGAGGAGCCCTCAAGGCTCCTGGCTCGGCTTCCCGGCGTGGTGAGGGGACCCGCCCGCAGCCGGACCTGCGAGGGCCCCGGGGCTGAGGGGCTCCGGGCTGAGGGGCCGTGGCTGCCGGCGTGGCCGCACCGCCCTGTGCGCGCTGGGCTCAGCCGATCCCGGGCAGCTTCCCGCCGGGATCGCTTGGCCTGCGGGCAGTGAATGAAGAGTGTGCCCGTGTGCTTCCCGGTGGTTCCCTGGCCTGCAGACGGGCGTGCCCCTGGTGCTTCCTGCTGTGTCTCTGTGTGCCAGGAATTCATTCGTGTCAGTGCTTGGGTAAACCCCCTCCCAACTTCATGCTCTCACAGGGAAGTACGATGTCCTTGTCTGGGAACAGTTCTGGCTGAACGTGTGCGCGTTTGGCTGTCTCCTGCGGGAGAAATAGTGAGGCTGTGAGGACAACAGGGATTAGAATAGGGGGAGGGAATATGATACGAGGAGATACTTCAGAAGTGTCTAAAAGGAGAGTGTCAAGAGAATGGAGCCAGGGTGTTCTTGGTGGTGCCGAGCAATAGGACAAGAGGCAACTGATGCCCAGGAAGTTCCACCTGAACGTGAGGTGACCGAGCACTGGAACAGATTGCCCAGAGAGGCAGTCCCTCACTGGAGATGTTCAAGAGCCATGTGGATGCAGTCACAACGCGCACAGCAACGTGTTCTAGGCAGGGAGATTGGATCAGATAACCCACTGTGTGCCCTGGCAACCTGACCCATTATGATTCTCTAAAAAAACCCCTGAAATTTTAAACTGGCTACTGCTATTCACTTCTTACGACCTTCCCTCGGTGCTGCGAAGGTGGTTGCTAAATCCTTAAGGGAGTGGTAGTGAGCTTGGTTTTATTTTCTGAATCATGGAAGTTACAGAAATATTTCATAGGAGCAAATGCATGCTATTAAACTTTTTCTGAACTTAGCTTTTATGTTGCATAAGATAGTTTTGATTCAACAGTTACAAAAAAGTCATGTGTACAGTGACTGCTGCTGAGTAGTTGTTTAGAGAAAAGAAGTCTTTCACCTCCTGTTCACTCACCTGTCACTCAGCTACAGATGGATTATCATGTGAATTTACCCTGGATTTGGTAGGCAGAAGTTAGACTTCTCATGGTGCAAAAGGTGGCAGCAATTTTTCAGGGAGAAAGTCTTATTTTTGTGGGAGGTTTTTTGTTTGTTTTCATTAGATTTGCTTGTAAAGGCACTAGATTTGCAGGTAAAATGTATTTTGACTTTTCTAAACAGCTCTAAAAAATTGGGCTGAAGTCTAAAAAAAAATTCAAAAGAGATACCTACTCATTTAATATGTATGTAACCATATAATCATATGCACAATAATCATATTGTGCTCTCTGTTGTCTAATCTGAAGCAAGACTTTTAAAAAATAATTAGAGAGGACAGCCCCCACACCCTGTATTCCTTCTATTCTGTCTTCCCAGTCTTGTATGAACATTGCACCTGTACCTTCATGTCTGGAACATGCTTGTACCTACTGAAGTTAATTAAAAAAAAAAATCCTATTAACTTACTGAAGTAAAAAAAGGAAAAGATAAGGAGATTGAAATTACTGCATTGAGAACTTTCTGCAAACCCTATTGAGGCAGCAGTAGGTTTCTCCTAATTTTTCTTGTTCCAGTGTCTCCTCTGAAATGATGAATTCTTCATGTTACTTGCAATATCTCTGCGCATGATACTTTGCAGCGGAAGAAGATACATCATAAACGTGAGCAGATAACTTCATGTCTTAAAAAAATGCTCCTTCGGAGCCAAATGTCATCTTTACTATTTAAGTAAAAAATCATTAAATTTAAATTCCTCTTTTTAAAACTGAGAAAAAAGCATTACTTTAAACATGCAAGAGCTTTGTTTCTCTAAAGGGCAAAATGGGGACATTTTAGTGCATTCTAAATGAAATCGTTTTCAACGTTTGCTGTGAATCTGTAAATATTTTCTTTATCTGAAAGTTTACTACATTCAGGCTTATTCATTCTGCTTTTTTACCTCCCCTCAGAGACTTTGCATATAGTTTTATTTTTTAACTTCATTGTTTCCTTTTTATTACCATCACTGTAGTAAACAGTCATTCTGACAGCGGTGTATAATCTGTCCTCCTCTGCACTGTGCCTTACTCTGTCAAATAAGAGTGAAAGCACTGGTGATTTCATTTAACAGGGCCAATTTTTGCTTAGCCATCTGTTACCATTCTTTGCAGTCTACTTACCTCCCCAGGAGACCTCTGGTTAGAAGCAAACTCTCTCCTTTTTTCTTCACCCCCCCCCTTTTTCTCCTCTTTTCTTTCTTTGAACAGGGTAGAAAAGAGAACCTCAGTCTAAATGCCTTTACACCACAAAGCTGGTCGCTTTTTGAAAACAGCAAAGTGTCCGGACTGTCTGAGTGGCTTGCAACATCTGCTGCGCTGTTTCTCTAATCGAAGTGATACGTTACGTGTTTCATGTGGACGTATTTAGGAAAGGGGGGAAGCAGCTGGTGCAAATGGCTGTGAAATGCGTTTTGTAACTGCAGTTATTTTGTGTTCCAGCATCAGTGATGGAGGCCCCTGCCCCCAGCTCCGTGCACCTGAGCGACTGGCAGAGAAGTTACTTTGCTATTACCTCTGACACCTGCACACCTGCACAGAAGGCAGATGAGTACCGTGCCAAAATCCTGCGTATTCAATATGCATGGGCAAATTCTGAGATCTCCCAGGCCTGTGCTGCCAACCTGTTCAAAAAGTACGTGGAGAAATACTCTGCGGTTATTGACTCTGGCAACACGGAGACCGGCTTGAATAACTATGCGGAAAACATTTTGACTTTGGCAAGGTGTCAGCAGAATGACAGTGACAAGTGGCAATCTGCCTTGACAACAGATAATGTATTTGAATTAAAGTGTGTTCAAGAGAGGATGCAGGCTGGCAAAATTTTCCACAGCTCTCAGATGGCACTGACAGATGCCTGTGTACGAGCTGGTAAAGGGGTCAGTGCCTCCGCTGCTCCAGCTCTTTCTAAACTCTGTGTCTTCGGCAGTGCCGGAGAGACTGAGCTCTGTGCTGGCTCAGCAAAATGTGCAAGTCAGGGACCAGATCGCCTGGAGCATCCCTCGTCTTCAAAGTCTCTTCAAAGCTGTGTGCCTCCTGTGACTAAGACTTCAGATACGCTTCCTGCTGCTTCAACCTCCTTAAGCAAAAGGGTTCAACCGGTTTTCCAGGCAACTCCACTGTTTGGAAGTAAAGAAGCCACAAGTAGTAGTTCTCTGAAAATGTCAGGTAACTGTTGTGATGGGCAAAATTTGTCTCTTTTTAACCAGTCAGCTGCACCTGCATGGTCTGCGAGCTCTGGGAAAAGAAAAGCGTTCTATGGTCTGGCTGATGAAGGCAGCACAGTTATTCCTAGCCCTGCTCCATGCCAGCCTCCCATTAGCACAGAAACTAGTAGTTTTTCAGGGCACAGAAACAGAAATGAAGAGAGCAGTGCTCCAGGTTTTAAAACTGCAAAAGAGCAGCTGTGGGTGGATCAGCAGAAGAAATCTCAAAACCAAGCCCAGCGTGCACCAGTCTCGTCATATGGAGGTGTAAAAAAATCCCTGGGTGCAGGCAGGTCTCGGGGTCCGTTTGGCAAGTTCGTTCCTCCGGTGCCAAAGCAAGATGGAAGTGAAAATGGAGGAGCACAGTGTAAACCTCACACAGGAGGACCAACAGATTCATCGCTGCCTGTAGATGAACGGCTGAAAAACATAGAACCAAAAATGGTTGAACTCATTATGCATGAGATCATGGACCACGGGCCCCCAGTCAACTGGGATGACATCGCTGGAGTTGAGTTTGCTAAAGCTACTATAAAGGAAATAGTGGTCTGGCCTATGCTGAGGCCAGACATCTTCACTGGGTTGCGTGGTCCTCCTAAAGGAATTCTGCTCTTTGGCCCCCCTGGGACTGGCAAGACTCTCATAGGCAAGTGCATTGCATGCCAGTCTGGAGCAACTTTTTTTAGCATTAGTGCCTCTTCTCTGACTTCCAAATGGGTGGGTGAAGGGGAAAAGATGGTCCGTGCGCTGTTTGCTGTGGCACGATGTCAACAGCCAGCGGTGATTTTCATCGATGAAATTGATTCTCTTCTGTCTCAGCGTGGGGAAGGGGAGCATGAGTCATCAAGAAGAATAAAAACTGAATTTCTAGTCCAGTTAGATGGAGCAACAACCTCCTCTGAAGATCATATTCTAGTGGTTGGGGCAACAAATCGACCCCAGGAGATTGATGAAGCTGCCCGAAGGAGACTGGTGAAGAGACTGTACATCCCCCTTCCGGAGGCCTCCGCCAGGAAGCAGATTGTTACTCGTCTCATGTCCAAGGAGCACTGCTCCCTAAACGAAGACGAAATTGAACTCATAGTCGAGAAATCTGATGGGTTTTCTGGAGCAGACATGACACAGCTCTGCCGGGAAGCTTCTCTGGGCCCCATCCGCAGTCTGCAGTCCATGGACATCACAACCATCCTGCCGGAGCAAGTACGGCCCATTGCTTTCCTGGACTTTGAGAGTGCCTTCAGGACCGTGCGGCCCAGCGTCTCCTCCAAGGACCTGGAGCTCTATGAAACCTGGAACCAGACATTTGGCTGTGGTAGATGAACTGCAATCCTAATTGTTACACAGGAACATTCCTTTAACACTGCCGTGTATTAAACATGGTAATTTAGAGTTGTCTGCACTTCTTTTTCTTTCTGTCTGGGAATTAAACCTTCTTACATTATGCAGGCTGTGACCTGAGGTTTTTCCAGCTGAAAAGACCATGAGGAACTACTGGTCACAAAATGAAAAATTGCTGAACACCAGTAACAGTGAGAAGCTGACAAAATGTACAGATAGGTGCTGTGAAAGATGGATGAATTTCACTGATGTTCAAGGGGAAGATGGTCAAACCTCAAATATAATTGACGGGAGTACTGGGGGCAATCTTACAAAGCCCACTGTGCTGTATTAGAAGGGAATCCAAGTAATGCCAGAAATAACAGTTTTGGGTAGGGATGTAACAAAACTGGGGAAAAGAAGTCAGAAATGCATTGTTTGGGAGGAGACAGGAGCAGAGGGAGAAAGGGCCGAGGTGGATGTAGAGTTGCATGGAAAAACAGAAGGGGGAATAAAAGGGGAAAGTCTCTTGAGCAGTGCTGTTGTCAGCCTTGCAACACATCACTGCAGTCTATCCCAGCTCCTTATTAAAAACTTTCTCTGCCTGACCTTGCTTTCTGTGCTGCATCAGCATGTGTGGATGTGTTTTATTGGGAGGTCTGGACACCTGCAACTGGAGAAGAGGCCATGGATCGTAGGGGCTCTGGGACCTGGGGCCAGCCCAGTGTGTGTATGACCAGGTGCTGTAGGGATCTCCATGTGTGTGCAAACTTCACTAACAAGACTCACTGGCAAACTTTAGGCTGGACTAGCTGGCAAGCGGGACGAAACCAGCATGTGGAAAGAGCCCAGGTATAAGCCAGTGGCAGGGCAAAGGGGCTCAGGATCTGGGAATGGGTATTTGGTCAACTTAAATTCCAAAGGCTCTGAGAACATAGTGTCCTTGTGAAGCTGGAGAGTCGGGGGGGGGATGTTGTGTCGCACACTGGTGAGCTTTGGTCCCGTTTGGCTGGAGATGAGGGACAGGATGGGGCTGTTGGTGGATCTGTGTGAGTGCATCTGTGTGTGTGTGCGCTGAAGGTACTGCTTGCTCTGTGCCCTTGTTTCTGTGTGCATGTTCCCAAATGTTTGGATTAGGGGCTCAGACTTGCTCCTGGCTGGACCTGCAAGCAGAAACAACAACAGCTGCATCCATCAAATTAAGATGGAAGATGCCTTACTCCAAGGATGCTGGGCTGTAGTGATAAGGAAGGAGAAATCTTGTGTCCCGACACAGACTGGGTTCTACTGCTCCTTAAAAAATCTTGATGCAACAATGGTAAAATTTCTGACTAGCTTTTATTTGGCATTTCTTACCTAAGGTTTGAAAGAATATGTGGCCTTTTGTTCACATAATTGGTCCTTGCCCACTGGCTGAACTGGGAAAATAAGTGGAAATACTTCCTTTGGATTCATTTGTTGGTGTGGCAGAGCTGGCTGCTGTGGTGTCTGTGCTTCATTTTCAATTCCTCTAAAGCACTTTTTCTGCAGAGCTTCAAAGCTAGTCTTACTTAGAATTTTAAAGAAATGGATAAATGCTGTTTAGCTAGCATTTGTTTAAAGCCATTTGGAAACTTCAGGGGCCGGGAGACTATAGTGAGCCTTGAATCTAGAATAATTTGGAAGACTTGAAATTTCTTAGAGATCATCCTGATTTAAACATAAAAGTAATTTTTATTCATAGCTCATGTTTTTAGTAAAGTCTGGTATGTATTAGAAATTCTTTTGCAGAGATGTAAAAATTCAGGTATGGGAATTTTTCTTCATTTTTGAAATAATGAACATAGAATAATTAGATTATTTTGTAAGGATAAATGTGTGACGTGGTCCAAACTGATTGAATTTTGTGCCACTTGAGTAAAGATTATGAGATTAAGTCTGTTCTTACAAGTTCAGTATTGGAGAGCTATAAATATATATTAGGTAAGATTGATTTTTGCACCCTCCCAAAATTTCTTTAAAATCATTGCTCAGGCAAATGACTGAAACACCAGAGAATTTTACTTGTTTAGTAAAACCTAAGGGTCGCTCCAGGGTAATAAATCCCTTATGTATGGATAAATAATTGCCTCTTTTATGCTGGGAATTGCTCTGGTATGCTATGTGAGCATTCTGTGGTCATCTGTTTGTCTGAATATTCACATTTTAATAGAAATGACTCTACAGAAGGACCAGTGAGAATGCACATGGTGATAGGCAGTAACACTCCCCCTAAGATGACCAGGACTGGGACAAAAGTGCTGTGCTGCTGTATTAGTCTCTTGCAAAGTGGAACTTGTGAAAGAGATAAAAGGTAGAATCACCAACACCAGACAAGAGAGTTTTTCCTCCTACCTTTTTTTTTTTTTTTTTTTTTTTTTTTAAGGAAACATAGAAATAGTGAAAGGAGATATTAGATAAAGATTATTCTGTTTTAATAATGATGCAGGTAATATGGTCATCTCTTCAGCCATCTGGCATTATTCAGGCTTTGCTGCAGGGCTCACGAGTCAGCAGGACTTCCAATGTTACCCCAATATGTGCTTCATAACCCTCTATGACAGAGCCACCACACAAGCCATTAGATTGCAGTGACATAATTTCCCAAAATGTAGAAAATTGCACAGAAGTGGGGCATGATTGTAATTTAAGGGAAATGGTGCAGATAAATCCACCTTAATGGATCTGTTTAGTATATGCAGAAACCTGGGCACTTCATTATTTATTCTTTTTGGCTGGCTGAACTTTGGAAGAAGAAATGCAGGACTCTGCTCTGGTTTTGTGGTTCAGCAGCACTTGATGCACAATCTCTTAGTTTCTTTTAAAGGTAAATAATTGCAGTCCTGGAAAAATGAGGTCTCATTAATAAACAAGGCAATTCAGAATCTCCATTTTCTCAGTGCATCTTGTATTTGAGTTAGCTAAATTGTCTCAGAACAGAATGAAATCCCCAGGGGAATTTTCATTTACAGAAGACTGTGCCAACACAAGTAGGGGAAAAGCTGCTGAGGCAGCAATGATCATCACCTGCTAAGGTGAGTGGCTAAAAACCAGACTCGCCTCTGAGAGCATCACTCAGATTGTCCTTTTGAAATAAGGCAATTTTTTTGTAATAGGAATTATGGAACTACTCACAAGACAATGTGCAATTGGAAAACAACCCACCAAATAAGGAAAAATTACCATTGAAGTCATAATTTTGGTGTCAGTGAGAGACTGGTCTTAGTGAGCACTTAGATTAATTAAGACTTAAGAGATGCTTGAACTGTTAAGATACACAAGCAACGTTTGCACTTGTCTTCAGACTTATGAGCGGGCATTCCTTTGAAATTTAAATAAAAGGACAGACTTGGGAGAGTTTTGGAAGAAGGCTCTTGAGTAGTTTTCTTATCTAAAAAGGTACTCTTAACAGTCTAACCTTGGCTAACAGCCAGGTGCCCACCCAGCACCTCACTCACTCTGCCTCCTCAGTGGGACAGAGGGGAGAAAATAGGATGAGGGCTTGTGCGTTGAGGTAAGGACAGGGAGATTGCTCACCAGTTACCACTGTGAGCAAAACTCACTTGGCGTGGGGCAAATTAGCTTACTGCCAATTAAAATACATTAAAACATTGAAACCTTTACTCCCTGTTGTTTCAAACTCAACTTCATTTCCAGCTCTTCTATCCTGCCAACCACAGGGCTCGGGTGGGTGGGATGTTGCAGTCAGTTTCTCACTGCAGCTCCTTCCCCCTCATGTTTTTCTTCTGCACTGCTGCAGGCACTCCGTGTATTTAGGGATATCCATCTGCTCTGGCGTGGGCTGTCTCATGGGCTGCAGTGTAGATGTCTGCTCCACCATGGGTCTGTTGGAAACAGATGTGTCCAGTGCAGGGCAACCCCTGGCCTTTCCCCACAGAGGCCACCCCTGCAGCCCTCCACTATCCAGACCTTCACATTCACTCCCAACACAGATGCCTTCAGCAGAACTACTCACATAACTGCTGCTCTTAGTGAAGACACACAAAATTCCCAATGTCTAGGTTTCTTAGCCTTGCTTTTTAATATTTTATTACCATTCTTTATGTTATCTGCAGAAAAACAATCATTTGAGGTGGTGTAGCTAAAGCAACAGTAGTACTTATAGGTCTCTAGTACTTGTTTTTGTTCCATTAGATCAGAAACATCATATAATCATGGCTCATAGATGTGAAGCCAAAATAGCATTATCACAGAGTTATGGATCTGAAAAGGACTCTAAGAAATCATCAAATTCCCACTTAATCTAGGGTGAGTTAGTTTTTGTGATTCCAGATGCATGTTTTGCCTAATTTGTTCTTTAAAGTTTTTTATTCAATGTTCATTCCCATACCAGTGATATAATCACACTCAGGAGTTGATGTATTCACTATATGCTGCTACGCAAACACAGTCTGGTAAATGTTTAATGTTAACCATTAATAAAGTGGCTTTCTTGCCTGGATTCTTCTTTAGCAAGATTGAAGATGAATAAAATTATTCCCAGTGCCTCATCCCTGTTGCTGGGATGCAAACGTTTCGTGCCTTATCCTGTCCATACTGCTCACAGGCACGGGGAACTGTTTAATCATCCCCTTTGTAGCAGGTACTTAGAGCAGTTTAGATTTGCTGTCATTAGGCGTTACGATACTACCTGCACTAAAGAAATGTCCCTCTTCTACTCTCATGGAGTGTGCTGTTGGTTAGACTTCTGATCACTGCTGTTCACATCTCTTCAGCACTGAGATGCCCTGAACAGGACAGTGCCTGTCAGCGATAAGGGGTGGAACTGGAGCAGAGTGGGACTGAACATGAGCGTAGGGTGGAAGATAGATGAACTATTTATTGGGACATGGTGCTTGTGTTTTCAGTTTATAGCTTATTGTCAGCAAAGTTGTTCTGTAGTTGCTATGGTTTTCCTCTTTCCCAGCTTGGTTTCAACAGCAAAGTTATGCAGTGGAGACTCCCTCTTCCCTCACATAGTTGCTAATACATTGTCACTGCTGCAGGAAAGACCCACGTAAAATCTCTGATATACATTGTTGTTTGTCTATAACTGCACTCTGATTATGGTAATTGGTGTTACAATAATTTAATAATTTCTATTTTCAGAAAATATCACACAAGAACATTCACATCAGGTATGTCCTGTTATCATGTTCCCATAATGCCAAGGCACGTTATCTATTCTAGAGAAATACTGGGTTGGTTTGTTGCAGAGAAGATAGAACAGCAAGAAAAAGGCAGTATTGTTCTCTTCCTGAAGCTGAGGGTCAAGGAAAGTGAATGAAAGCTTCAGGGATGCTGTAAAGATACCAAATCTGCTTTCTGGCTGG